AGTAGTAGTAGTAGTAGTAGTGGTAGTAAAAATAAATAATAGTAGTAGTACTAGCAGTCGTATTAGTAGTAATAGTAGTAGTAGTGGTAGTAGTAGTGGTAGTGGTAGTAATCGTAGTGGTAGTCGTAGAAGATAGTCGTCGTAGTAGTAGTCGTAGTAGTAGTAGTAGAAGTAATAGTTCTGAGAGCCCAAGAGGCTCTTCGGAGAGCCCAAGAGGTTCTCAGGCGGCTGCAAGAGGGTCGTCGGCGGCTCCAAGAAGCTCTTCGAAGAGCACCAGAGGCTCTTCCGAGAGGCTCTCAAGAGAAAGGGGGGGGGGGGGGCGGAGCCTTTTTGGACCCCCTCCCCCCCCCTTCACCGTACTCGATAATTAATGCACTCCGGAGGACCCCTGGCCATACTAACACCCACCGGGCCGCAGTAACAACCAACGGGCCGCAGTAACACCTTATCTCCAAGAATGGGAGGGGCAAAAAGGCAAGAAAGAACGGCTGGCAAGGAGGAGAAGAGGGAGTGGGGGCAGGGAGAATGAATGGGGCGAGGGCAGAGCGACGAGGGGGAACGAAAATAGTGCACAATCAGGGAAGAGCGGGTCGGGGAGCGGGCGCGGAGAGAAAGAGAGAGAGAGAGAGAAAAACAAGAAAGAGAGAGAGGGAGTCTTCATCGTCCTCATCCTCGTCATCGTCCTCCATCTGCTCCTCCTCCTCCTCCTCCTCCTCCATCTGCTCCTCCTCCTCCTCCTCCTCCTCCTCCTCCTCCTCATCTCTCTAGGATGGAGGGGTGAGGGCAGAGAGGGGCGGGGAGGAGTCGGAAGGTGGGGAGTAGTGGGGGGGCACGGCGGTGGATGCGGCCAGAAGGGAAGGGGAAGGCGGAGGGCCAAGAGCGTATCGTGGTTGGAGGTGATAGGGAAGAGGGGCGTTTGAGCTCTACGCCCTCGGAGGCGAAGCCAAGACGAGGATCACATCGGGTGAGGATCAGTCGAGCATCTCTGGAAGATGTCTCGAGCGCCGCGGCCTTCTCAGCGCATTGCGGAACGCTCTGTAGGCGTTCTGGAAGGCCCCAGAACGGATTCACCGTCGTCGTAGCGCCGCCTTGCCCTCGCAGCCGCAGGTGCAAACCAGCAGCAACCGCCGAGGATGCTGCTGTCGAGCGCGCACGGGGAGAACCCTGCACGCTTCTTGACGAGGAGGGAGGGGAAGGCACCCGCACAGGTTCCCCCCCCCCCCCTCGGAGAAAAGGGCTCCCACACCCTGCCAGGACAAGCGTGGGGCTGGAGCCAAACGGGGCGAACTCCATCGACCGCGACGGGCCGTTGTGAGGCCGGGTGGGCGGCGCGCACGAGGGCAAACGCCACCTCAAAGGCCCAGGCGGACACCAGCTGCCCACGGGAGAGCCGCTGGGGGCCTGGCGCGACTGGGCGGCCGCCACGAATATGTCTGCAATTGAAGGACACGAGGCGGAGGAGGAGGAGGAGAGGAAGAGGAGGATGAGGACCAGTGGAAACCCAAGAGTCACCAACGATGTTCGAAGAAGCCCTCCCCCCAAGATCCCTCTTGATGGGCCCCTACAACGGTTCACTTCCACAGAGGGACCTGCCTCGTTGGAATACAACCGTTTGAAGACCCTGAAACATGCCAAAACATTGTTCTCGGTATCCCAGCGCCACGGATAAACCTGACTGTTGCGTCTTGACGATCCTGAACCATGACAGAGCGCCATTCCTAGGACTTCAACACTGCGAATCATCGTAACGATTATGCCCTCATAATCGTGAATCCTTCCAAAACACCATGTCTGGTACGTCGTTCACGGGAATACGTAAAACTCTTGTTATTGTTTGATAAAAGTGTGCGCGGCGCTACGGCGAGAACCAGATTTTGAAAACCACCCGCCCTCAATCAGTGACGCTCTTGTAAATTTTGAAAAAATGTGCGCGGCGGAAAGGCGAGAATCACATTTTGTACACGCAATCAATCCGCGAAGCTCTCTTGCACATTTGGAAACGAATGTGCGCGGCGCCAAAGGCGAGAACCTGATTTTGAAAACCACCCGCCCTCAATCCGTGAAGCTCTTACAAACTTTGAAGACGAATGTGCGCGGCGGGAATGCGAGAGCCAGATTTTGAAAACCACCCACCCTCAATCCGTGAAGCTCTTGCACATGTTGAAAACGAATGTGCGCGGCGGGAAGGCGAGAGCCTGATTTTGAAAACCACCCGCCCTCAACTTGTGAAGCTGCTGTCAACGTTTAAGCCTCAAGGTCATACATGGTGAAGAAGTCTCAGGCGAAACGCCCGGACCGCCCTAAAAACTGGCGTCGGGGTGCGACGGGGAGAACTTATTTCTTAGGAGAAGGAATGGAGGAGGAGGAGAAGGGAGGATGAGGAGGAAGAGGAGCAGGAGGAGGAACCGGAGCAGGAGGAGGAGGAGGAGGAAGAGAAAGAAGAGGAGGAGGGAGAGGAGGAGGATGAGGAGGAGCAGGACGAGGAGGATGAGGATGAGGATGAGGAGGAGGAAAAGGAGCGAACGTTGCCGATGGGACGTTCGTCTGTTACTAGCCGTGGCGCGGCCCCGCGCCGCCCGAAAGGTCAGGCGCTGACCTAAAGGCGCGGTGGGCGGTACCAACGGCGGCGCGTCGCTTGCTGCAGGAGAGTGGGATGTGGTCGTCCTTCGTCATGTGGTGGACGCGGGGTGGCCAACGACATCCTGGCCATCGCGTTGGGGATCCCGTTCTTGCCGTACAACTCGAGGAGAAGAAGGAGGGGGAGGGGGATGGGGAGAAAGGGCACAGGAGCCTCACATCATACCCAACTCATGAATCGTAAAGCCCGCGCGCGCAGATCCGGCATTCACCACACACCCCTGGCCTTCGGAGGGCCGTTGCAAAGGTCTCGACCATGGCACTCAGCATTGCGGCTGAAGCGGACCGCGCACTTTGCCTGAGCCAGCCGCTCTCGCACCCGTGCTGTGGCACCTCCACCGGATGCAAGCACAAGGGTGGCTGCCTTCGGCACAAGAAGAAGCCAGCACCCTATGACAGAGCCGAACCCGAACCCCATCGCCGAGGGAATTTCGTCGGGTCGACGGCAGCCAAAAACACAAACACGGCAACGCCAGACCCGAAACCAATCAGCTCAATCGTGAGGCGTACGCTTGTCGCGGGGGAGTTTAGTGACAGAGGGATGCCGAGCCACACCCGCCAACGCAGTCCTGGGCCACTCTACGAGCAATGCCGAATTTTCAACGTGGCGTCCACACCTTCAAAGAAAATGTGACACCAGAGAGAAACCCCAATCAGTGGATGGTTTGATCGATAAGGAGATCGGCCAGGAACCCAGGAACCCAGAACCCACCGAAATCGACCCGGAACCAATAACCAGGAACCCAGCCGGCCAACAAAATCGGCGGGACACTTTCGCCAAGTTTTTCGATTTCCACTTGGACCCCTCCAGTGCAGGCACTGATTGGGGAATGCTCGAGGGACGCACCTGGAAGGCGCGCGCGGTGGCAAGGCCTGCATCGTTGTTGCACGTCCTGCGAGCGCGCTCCTGCTCGCCATGCTCGCCAGTCCCCTCCTCCAGAACGTCCTTTGCCATCAGCTGCCTTGACGGCGCCCTGTGGAGAAGAAGATGAAGAAGAAAAAGAGGATACAGTCGAGGCGTTGACCTAAGGAACCCCAAATAAGGAACGAGGCCCCTTTTTCTCATAAGTTCAATCTCGATTTCTCATGGAAAGCCTCAGGAAAACAGAGGCAAACTTTGCAACAATCAAGGAACACCGAGCCCCTCCCCCACAAAAAGGGTTCCTTCTTCAGCGCCCCGACTGTATGAGGGAGTGGCCGCGAGCGTTGCCCACCATGGGGGTCCTTGGGTACGGCCTGTCACCTGCAGAGCGTTCGGGGACAGGCGGCCTTGAATGATTGACCGCGTTCAGGCAGTCAACAGGCGGATGTCTGGCCGTGTTGCTCGCCACGAACAGGATCGCAATTGAGGGACACTAGGAGGAGGAGGAGGAGAAGGAGGAGGAGGAGGAGGAGAAGGAGGAGGAGGAGGAGGAGGAGGAGGAGGAGGGGGTGTCTGGCCATGTTGCTGGACATTGCCCCAGCTAGAAGCTCGCCAGCCCTGGGCGTCTGGGGGTACGGGGCCCCGTTTCGCCGCCCCCAGCACGTGAGCGCAAGGCGAGAATCCTGGCGCGCGACCGAAAGCACTGCTCATCGTTCCCTGGCGCTTGGCGCGCCCGCGCAGGTGGGCCAATCTGGCTTTCAACTGAACGACCTTTCTGTGGGCCCCGAAAAACTTTCCCGCCGAAAAATCCCCCCCATCCAGGGGTCTGTGGTCGCACCGTCGATCCTGCCGGCCAGCGAGCCTGGCCCAGAGACGCAAGGGCGGTGCTGCAGCCGAGTGAAGTAGCGATCGCAGCATGCAACGCAAACGAGCGTTCGACCAGGGAAGCGACGACCTTCTTAATGGGCCGGATGAAAATATATCCCAGGCCGATGTGGCTAGATGTCCAGACTCAGCCTCACAAGCGAAGTGGGTGGAGTTGAAGCCACCCATGTCGAAACCGCGGACCAGGGTGGCGGCGACACTGCGCCTCACCACCGCCCCGGTCTCCGCGAAGCAAGGGGCCCGCGAGGGTGAGCACCAGAGAGTCAGTCGTCTCGTCGTACTCGGGCATCCAGGAACGAGGCAGAAGTGGACGGGGGAGGAGGGGGGGGTCTGACGCAGGAGGGGAAGGAGAGGGCGGAATGCGGAGGGGCGAGGAGGGGTGAGCCCCGAAGAGTCAGTCGTCTCGTCGTACTCGGGCATGCAGGAGCGAGGCAGAATTGGACGGGAAGGGGGGGGGGACTGAGGGGGGGGGGAGTGAGAGAGGAGCGGTGGGGGAGGGAGAGGAGGGAGCGGCGAGGCGGGAGGGGGGGATGGGGCACGGCGGAAGAGGAATGGAAAACCGTCCTGCCTGCGCCACAAGCGTTGGCACTGGCGCAGGAGCTGGCGGCCCGTTCAGGAGGGTGCGCAGCTCGTCTTTGCTGGGGAGCCGGAGCCGCCTCTGCAGCTGCACGAAAGGGCTCCGAAGCCAGCAGTAGTCGATCGTCTCCGCGAATCCCTTGCGGAAAGGCGGGGCAACGTTAGGAGCAGGAGGAAGACGACGAAGTCCTCCCCGTCGTCGTCGACGTCGTTGTCGTCCCACTTCTCCATTTCACAAAAGAAGCAATGGAGGAATATCAGCAGCATCAAAAGCATTACAAGTTCCCGTTCGCAATAAAATCAGGAGAAGGAGCAGGCGGAGCAGGCCTCGCAGAAACGAGGCGAATTCGTCACACGGGCGATTTCGAGCTTTGTCCTTCATGCCCCCTCTGCTGACCTCCTCCCCCCTTCGGGTGACGGACCAAATTTTGCACCAGCCGCGCAACCGGGGCGACGGCGCAAACTTCCACGCGCCCCCCTGCCCCCGATTCAATGTTGATTGGCTGCGCCCGCACGGTATAGGATTTAGGCCAATCGACAGATCGACAAATCGCGCCACAGCTTGCCAATATTGAATTGGGGGCGCGGGAGGCGAAAAGAAAAGTCGAACAAAAAGTTCAGGATTTTGTCCATCAGCCGTTCCCCCTCCTCTCCCCCCCCATCACCTCTCTCTCTCACACCCCCGCGCCTTCCCTTGTTCAGCACCCCCCCATCACCTCCCCCTCACTTCTATCTCTCTTTCCCCTCCCCCTCTTCCCCTCACCTTCTCCCCCCCTCCCCCCCCTTGCCCCCCTCACCTCTCTCTCACCACCCTCTCACCTCTCTCTCACCCCCCCCCTCATCTTTACTTCCTATGATTAAACACCCCCACATCCCCGCCTAGCCGGCCGAAAGCAACCCCGCCGTCCTAACTGTAAAAAAGGACATCGGTTGGGTAACCCTAAGCGGGTGGTCGCGTCCTACCCCTCCAAAAAAACAATGCAATTTCAACGTTTTCCTCGTCGACCTGGACTTTCTTGTCGCCGACGCTGCGAAACATGTAGAAGGAGCGGGACGCGGCGTACATCGCGCGCGGACGCCTGGCCAACCCTACGCGGGACCCCCCGTCCTACCTGTCAAAAAAACACTGGAAGTCCGACTGATTTTTTGCCAACATGTACTTTCTCCTCGTCGGCGCTGCGAATCGCGCAGAGGGAATGGGACGCGGCGCACATCGCGCGGGGACGCCTGCTCGTCAACATGGACTTTCTTGTCGTCGACGCTGCGGCCCGTCGGGTTGAGGAGCCGGGCGGGCGGCAAGTCATAATGCCTCAAGCAAGTGCGGTTCAAAAAGTGCCTCAGGAAACCTCTACGAGGTCAAACAAAATGTCCAGGAGGTCCTGAGGGGGGGCAGCACAAATATTGATGTTCATGTGGTGTTTGAAGGATTGTGAGGTTAGCACCCTTCTCCTCCTCCTCCTCCTCGTCCTCATCGTCCTCTGCCTCCTTGCCTTTCTTCTCATCCTCTGCCCCCATATCCTCCTTCCCATGCTCCTCCACCTCCTCCTCGCCCTCCTCCTGCCCACCTGCCCTCCTTCCCTCTCCCCCTTACCCGTCCACCTGCCCGCGACCTCTCACCATCTTTCTCCCTCCGTCCCCATCCGCCCTGCTCGGACCTTGCCCTCCTCCGACATGGCGTTCGAGACCGTGGCGCTCGTCAGCTCCACGTCCCGGTAGGCGGAGAGGAACGTCTTGGACATGAGCTCGTGCACCTCTTGCCGGGCCGCACTCGAAGCGGGGTGACGGAGCCCGCAAACGGAGGAAGAGGAGGGAGGAGGAGGACGAGGAGAACGAGGAGGAGGAGGAGGAGGAGGAGGAGGAGGAGGAGGAGGAGGAGGAGGAGGAGGAGGAGGGAGGAGGAGGAGGAGGAGGAGGAGGAGGAGGAGGGGGAGGAGGAGGAGGAGGAGGAGGAGGAGGAGGAGAGGAGGAGGAGGAGGGAGGAGGGAGGAGGAGGGAGGAGGAGGAGGAGAGGAGGAGGAGGAGGAGGAGGAGGAGGAGGAGGAGGAGGAGGAGGAGGGAGGAGGAGAGGAGGAGGAGGAGGAGGAGGAGGAGGAGGAGGAGGAGGAGGAGGAGGAGGAGGAGGAGGAGGAGGAGGAGGAGGAGGAGGAGAGGAGGAGGAGGAGGAGGAGGAGGAGGAGGAGGAGGAGGAGGAGGAGGAGGAGGAGGAGGAGAGGAGGAGGAGGGAGGGAGGAGGAGGAGGAGGAGGGAGGAGGAGGAGGAGGAGGAGGAGGAGGAGGAGGAGGAGGAGGAGGAGGAGGAGGAGGAGGAGGAGGAGGAGGAGGAGGAGGAGGAGGAGGAGGAAGGGGGACCAGAGCACACCCGACCTGTACCAACGATGCTGCAGCACACCCTCCTGCCCAACATCTCCTCCCTACTTGCCTGCACAGGCGCCCATTGGCCCCGCATTCCCCGATAGCCCCCCGGAAAGGCGAGTCGCCCCGCGGGCCCGCAGTTCGGGCGGAAGCTCCGACACGGGCCCCAGGACCGCGCGTGCCCCCGAAGAGCGGCGGGCAGCTCATGCCCGGCCGCTGCCGCACCCGACCGGCGGCACGGTGGCGAGGAGGAAGAGGCGGGGGACGGAAGTGAGGCAGGGCGAGCAGGGTGGCAGGCAGCTCCTCCTCCTCCGCCTCCTTCTTCTCCTTCTGCTCCTTCTGCTCCTCCTCCTCCTCCTCCTCCTCCTTCTGCTCCCCTCCTCCTCCTCCTCCTCCTCCTCCTCCTTCTGCTCCCCTCCTGCTCCTCCTTCTGCTCCCCTCCTCCTCTTCCTCCTCCTCCTCCTCCTCCTCCTCCTCCTCCTCCTCCTCTCACCGCGCGCGCTCTGGCACTCCTCCTCCGCGCGCCTTGCCCCCCGGCACGCAGTTGAAGTCCCCGCAGATCAGGACGCGCCTGCAGCCTGTCCCCTGCAGCGTGTTCAGAAGCACGGACAACTGCCAGAGCCGGGCGTCCTCCGAGTCCGGAGGTGGCGATGACGGGTGGGAGGAGCAAGAGGTAAGGAGTAAGAGGATGGAGAGGAGGAGCAAGAGGAGCAAGAGGATGGAGGGGAGGAGCAAGAGGTAAGGAGCAGGGAGTGGGGGAGGTGGAGGGGGGGCCGGTGCGAGCCCAACACGCACCAACGATGCTGCAATCCACCCTCCCTACAAGTTCCCCTGTGCACGGCACCCTGCAAGAATATGCTCATAGGGGAAAGTGACACATTGAAGGAAGTACGTATGACAACATTTAGCCACACCAGAACGCAAGTCCTGGGACTTCAACGCCGCGATTCAACGTGACTGTTGCGCCCTGACATTCCTAAATCTGTGCAGAACACCCTTCCTGGGACTTCAGCCCTGCATGTGTTTGAAACTGTGGCAATCATGTTCAAGCGAATGTGCGCGGCGCTAAAAGCGAGAGCCACATTTTGAAAGGGAGCCAGCCTCCGTCCTTGAAGCTGTTGCGAACTTTGAAAACGAGTGTGCGCGGTACCAACACGGGAGCCACATTAAAACAACGACCTGTGCTCCATCCTTGGAGTTTTGACATTCCAACTTGTACGATGATACATGGCAAGGAAGTCTCAGGCGAAACGCTCGGCCCAGCATACTGGCACGACTGCGGGTGCGACAGGGAGGCGTTATTGAGGCGAGAAAGTGTTAAGGAGGAGGAGGAGGAGGAGGAGGAGGAGGAGGAGGAGGAGGAGGAGAGCAGCAGGAGGATTGCCCCGGATGGACTGTTAGGGTACAGGAACCCCTTCACCGTCAAACTTAAATATGATGGATGAGTGGGTGCCCCAACCTCCTGACCTGAAACGAGGGGGGATGTATAGCAATCGCTGGCTATCACGCCCTCCTCGCCCCGGTGCCAATTTCGGATCCGATCGAATCCAGACTCGGGGGTGGCATTTCTTGCGGGGAGGCGAACGCCTTGGAACACAGGTCCATGCTTTCAGATGTCCACCAAACGACTGGGACAAGGCGGAATACACACCCACCGGCAACCCACGACTTCAGAAAAGGTGGAAGGCACACCCACCGACAGCCCAATTCTGTGCGTTTTGGTGTGTTTTGCTTACCTCGAACGGCCAGGGCAGCCCCGCGACCGTGACGCAGAACGACAACGGAAAAGATCGGCACACACACAACACGTGTACCTCGCTTCTGCGCCTGCCCTCGCCGCTATGGCGGAACAGATCGGCACGCACTGTACGCGCGCCTCGCTTTTTCGCATGCTCTCGCTCACCTACAGTCTCGCGCAAACCCCGAGGGGGTCATCCGGCCTGCGGCGTGTGCCCCAAGACGATCGATCAATTTTTTCTGGCAGGGCTCGGGAAGAACGCCAGCGAAGCCCACAAGCCCTGCATCATGGGAGAAGTTCTAACACAGGACCATGGAAATTCTGGGAGAGGGCAACCAGCCGGTCGGATCGTGGACGGGTGCTGCCCTCTAAAGGGAAAGCGACGACCCCTCGGGCATCTGACTGATGCTGAGGGTTTGGTGATCCTGTGGGATCGCGGACTGAGCATGAGGCAACGTGTGAGGGAAGAGGAGGAGGAGGAGGAGGAGGGAGGAGGAGTATGGCCACCCTGAGAAAGGAAGAGGACAGGCGGACACGAGCACGAACGAGAAGAGGGCAAATGAATTAGTCTCTGCCGCCGTGCTCTGGCCTAGCGCCTCTACCTGTATAGTAATGCGTGTGCTGCGCGGCGCGATGCCACCAGGTCTGCTTGCGAGACAGCCACCGTGCGCTTGTGGCAGTGGATCTGATTTTGCGGTAGATATGGAATGTCAGTACGATCCTTGGGACCGTGGTCAGCGAAGACACAGGGCTGGTGGGGTCAGCTGCACATGCTGCGGCAGGGCCCAGCCCCCATGCCGTCAGTGTTGAGCGAACGAGGGGGAGGTGAGGGAGCCAGAGGAGCCAAGAGAAGTGATGCAGGAATGAGTCAGGTGCGTCCGTGCATCCGAACGCGCACTTGCGCTGCTGAAATATATGCATCCTAGCAGCGGTAGTCCAACCACTGCTGAG